ATATATATATATACATATATGTATATATATGTATATATATGTTAATTAAGTAAATACACACAGGTATACACTTATAAATATTACCCGAGCAATAAAATACAAATTCTCAGATAGGTGAGAGTATCAGACAAGGACATATGATTTATTCAGGGCTCTTTAAAGAAGTTTTGCAGAATGGACAGGAATTGAATGACTGAATGAACGAAGGAGAGAACATTGCAGGTTGTATGCAAAGGCCCCATAGACAGAAGGATCCTGCTGAGGAGACAGGACTGAGAGATCAGTGTGAGAAGATCAGAACAGGGATTTGGTGAGAACGCTGACTGCTAAGGAGATGAAGGACAGAGCTTGTGGGTTCTGGGACATACGTTGGGAAGTGCTACATATTATATACTTCTAATAAAGCCTTATTGGGTAAAGTTAACACAGGCATATTGCTCATTGTAAGAGATCTGGGTTCTCTAAGATCAGGGTTACTTAAATATACAGCAAAGCCACTGCATGCCTGGTGCTCACCTGGTCCTTCCGCACCTGTAAGAGGACTCAGTTGTAATGTCACCTGCAGAGCAATGCAGTTGAGCTGCCCTACACTGGTTTGGCTCCAGGCTGTGGTTCTTTCTTGTGTTCCTCAAGCCCCTAAGGACAGTGATTAGAAGAACTATATTCCATCAGGGCAGAAGGAAAATAAGAAGATAAGCTTGAGCCCATGTGTGCAATTTAATAGTCATGTCTACTCATAGACTATTGGCTGAAGCAATTCATATGTTCTAGCTATCAGAACTGCAAAGTCACATGGCAAACATCAGAAACAAACAAAAACAACAACAACTTCAGAGTGGCAGAAAAGAGACATGATCTGCTGGTGCTGCAAAAGGATCGCTCTAGCCTCTGTGGGTACATCTTCTAGAAGGACAAGGGAGGCATTTAATAGGACCCGGTGTCCTTACCAAGCCTTGGGATTGTCAGCCCTTCACATTGCTTCCATTATGAAATTAGTGTAAAAGGCTATCTTGTACTTGTTCTCCATTCAGCTTCTATTATAAGCCCAACCTGAAAAGTTATGCCGAGACTACGTTGTCTTGCTGATCTTTGTTGCTGCTGCTTTTATAATCATGAGGTAGATCGACGAGCCTATTTTTCCTCTGTGATTCCTCTAGGTACCAGCAATATGAACCTGGGGAAGTGACCTGATTTTCTGTGTTTCTGTTTTGTTTTCTGTAAAATGAGATGAACAGTAATCATATTACCTCACCCAGGCTCTTAGAACAATTCCATGAAATAATGTATGTGAAGTTCCAAATTGAGCTATATCTCTATGTGAGCTATAATGTCTCAACAAACTAACTAATGAACTAACTAACTAAAACAAAAGATCAAATCCAAACCAAATAAATAACTAAAACATCATAGACTAGGTAGCATTAAAAGCAGATTGATTAAGAGATAAGTTCGTAGCACAAACAAACATACATGCAAATGAAGACCCACTTTACTATAGTACAGTAAGAAGGGGCACACTCTGTTTTATTTAGGGCTTTCTTTAGCCCTGGCTGTCCTGGACTCACTTTGTAGACAAGGCTGGCCTCGTGCTCACAGAGATCTGCCTGTCTCTGCCTCCCTGAGTGCTGGGATTACAGGTGTGCGCCAGCGCCACCATGCCTGGCATGCATATATATAAAATATGCAGAAGAAAGGATACATACATATATATATATAAATATATATGAAAAAAATATATGAAACTATATATATGAAAAAAATATATATATATAAAACCAACCATTTGATCCTCCATTATTGTGCTCTTTTTAACATTTTAGATATTTATCACTGGAGTACCCAAGCTGGACTTTGAGATGGTAGCACTCTATTCCTTGACAATATATGCCAAAGACAACCATGGGGCAATAGCATCCCAGACCATTTTTGTCGAGATTGAAGATGTGAATGAGCCACCTGCATTCATTGGGTCTCTTGCCCATGATGATCAAGGTACCAAGGGTCTGTCTGGGGGAAAGGAAGTCCTGTGGACATAGCTGTAGGTCCTATGCTCTATGTCTTATGTGCTTTCATGGTGTTCTGGCTATAAGGCTAAAAGAGAATGATAATTAAGAACAGTTGGGCTGCTGTGATGGCTCAGCAGGTATATATATATATTTGTAATGCAAGTCTAATGACCAAAATTTGATCCCTGGAACCCACAATAGAAGTAGAAAACTGACTCCTGAATGTTGTCACGTGAACATCATACACATGTTATGAAATATGCATGACCTCTTAAACACACAAACATGCACACACACACACACCATAAATAGTTGATGTGTTTTGGGCCTTGACTCTGTACAAATACCATCCTAAAAGCTTTAAGTGGATTGCTTTGTTTAACAGTCACAGCACTAGCGGTAAGTTCTATTCTCTTAGTCTCACTGTGGAGAAAATAGACTTAGGTGAACTAATTTACTCAAACCATTCATGTATTTGTTTAATCATAGTATACTAAGGTCAATATCTTAAATGTGTCTAGTTGATGAACTAGAAGCTTCATGACACCTGTGGTGATGTCTCTTTTGTTCCTTGCTCTCTTACCACATAGGTGGTTCATTCTCTCATTCTTGACTCTCTTTCTCATTCTATTAAGTCAAATATTTAACTCTTACTTGCGGAAAAATCCAGACGATTCAACTAAAACATGAAATGGTTCAGTTGTAGGTATGGTTACTAACTAGACTGAATTACTTATCTTGAGTGAACCTCAGTCTCTTCATTGCTATGTCTTAGATGCGAACTATTCCCCATAATCTCATGTGGTTCAATAATGGTCCCAAGCTGGTGGCACTGTTTCAGGAGGTCATGAACCTCTGGGAGGTGGAGCCTTGCTAGAAGAAGCAGATCGTTTGAGGGTGGGCCGAAAGTTATACTTACTAACTGCCCTCTGTTTCCTGTTCCTGGAGCAGTGAGGAGGTAATGTGTTCACTTCCACAGCTATGGAGCCTCCTGCTGCCATCCTTCCCTTCCACAATACACTATGTCTCCTAAGCAATCAGCCCAAAGAGGCCCATCATCCGTTATAGCTTGTCAGGAATTTAGTCATAGCAAGCAGAAAAGTAACTAACAAGATCATTGATTCAAATGAGATGTCAATCCTGCCTTGATGCATATTGTGGTAGGGCAACTGTTGCTGTCAAAAGCAAATTGGGGAGGAAAAGGGTTATTTGGCCTACACTTCTGCATTGTAGGCTATCATTGAAGGAAGCCAGGACAGGAACACAAACAGGGCAGGAATGTGGAGGCAGGAGCTGACGCAGAAGGCATGGAGCGGTGCTTGCTCTCTATGGTTGATTCAGCCTGCTTTCTTATAGAACCAAGGACTACCAGTCCAGGGATGGCACCACCCACAATGGGTTGGGCCCTCTTCCATTAATCAGTAATTAGGAAAATGCCCTACAGCTGGACTTATGGAGGCATCTTCTCAATTGAGGTTCCCTCCTTTCGGATAATTATAGCTTGTATTAAGTCAACATAAAACTATCCAACACAGGACACTGGGGTGGGGGCAGGCTAGAGAGATGGCTCAGTGGTTAAGAACACTGCTCTTTGAGAAGTCCTGAGTTTAATACCTGGAAACCACAAGGTCCTGCATTCAATTCCCATTTACATGGTGGTTCACAACCATCTATACTGGGTTCTGATGCCCTCTTCTGGTGTACATGCAGAGAGAGCACTCATATACAAAACAAACAAACAAATCTTTAAAGAAGGCACAATACATATGGTGCTTTGAAGTGCCAAATATTGTGTGCACTTAACTTCATAGCAGTTAGTGTCTCTTCTTTCTCCTCCCCAAACACTGGATGAAGCGATGCATGGAGTCAAGGTCAAACCATGCTCTTTTGACTTCTCAAACAGTGAGCCAGGTGCCAGAGTGCTTGTGAGTTGGAAGTGTAGGCCCATGTGGCTCTGATTCTAGTAGGCTTAAGACCTCACTGCTATCCACAGGTACTGCTTTCTTCACAAAATAGGGTGGCAATAGGTCTGAATGTTCCCTTCTGGATTCAAGTCTCGCACTTTCCAGCTTCATTAATTCACCCAGAGGCTCATAGGTTTGCAAGCTTGCAGCTCCCACAACTGTCTTAAAATGTAGCAGCTGAGCATGTGGGGCTCAGTGATAAAGCGTGTGCTCAGCATATGTGAGCCTGTGGTTGTAACCCCTAGCATTCTCCCCATGATACATGGGAACAGGGAAAACGCAAGGAGAAACACACATTGAAACAATGCTGATGTGTATAGCCTTGGGGCTTGTTAGCAATTTTTAAATCTGAGTAGAACTAGACTGATAAAAATCATCATTGATAGTGCTTAGCTATCAGTAAGTATTAAAATTGTTTAATATTGCTGTTATTTAAAGGGGGAAGAGGGTAGAAGGGTGAGACCAGGAGGAGAGGAATGAGGGGAATGCGATCAGGATGTAAACTGAATAAAAAAGTAATAGTAAAATTACAAATCCCCTTCCTATGTGCATGACTAATATAAACAATACAATGTCTCATTATCATTATTGTTACTACTAGCTTAACTGGAATCACTGTTTAAAGCATCCGTATTGAGTAAGCACAGTACTTTAAGATTTTAATTTTTGTTATTATATTAATTATATATAATAATGGGTTTCATTGTGATATTTTCATACTTGTACATAACATAATTTTTGTCATATCCACCCCCTGTTCTGCTTTATCCACACATAAGTGAATGAGGTGTTTTGGGATTTAATACTGGTGAGACTCACAGAATCACCTCTCTTGTACTTTCTTGGGCAGTTACTGAGATTTATATCACAGAAGACACTGCCCACGGCACCATCATTTACAAAGCAGCGGCCAAAGACCCAGAGGATGCTGTATTGGAGGTAATTTGTCTTTTGGAACAAAGACTGTCAATGCCTGGTAGTTTATATGAGATTACATTTAAATATAAAAGCATAAAACAATCAAGTGATTTATATCCTCCAATTAAGTCTAAAACATGCTTCTGCCTTAATTAGCAGGATTTTTCAGGTGAAAATGATTGAAGTTATCTAGGTAATTGTTTCCTTCCTAGTCATCTCGTTCTGTGTAGTCAGACTTAGCGTAACCCTCATATACTTTTTTTTTTAAATTTTTATTTTTCTTTTTAGTTACAATTTGTTAACTCTGTGTCCCAGCTGTATCCCGCTCCCTCATTCCCTCCCCCTCCCCAACTCCCTCCCTGGTCTCCTCCCTGTTCCTTTCCAAGTCCACTGATAGGGGAGGACCTCCTCCCCTTTCATTTGACCCTGTTTTATCAGGTATCTTCAGGGCTGGCTGCAAAGTCCTCCTCTGTGGCCTAACAGGACTGCTCCTCCCCTGGGGGGGGGGTCAAACAGCCTGCCCTTGAGATCCTGTTAGAAATAGTCCTTGTTCCCCTTACTTTGGAAAACTACTTGGTTACTGAGCTACCACGGGCCACATCCGAGCAGAAGTTCTAGGTTATATCCATAGATGGTCCTTGGTTGAGTGTCAGTCTCAGAAAAGACCCTGTGCCTAGATATATTTGGTACTTGTAGAGCTCCTATCCTTTCCATATCATACTAACTCCCCTTCTTTCATATGATTCCCTGCACTCTGCCAAGGTTTGGTTATGAGTCTTAGTGTCTGCTTTGAAACACTGCTAGGTAGAGTCTTTCAGATGCCTTTTGCGGTAGACTCCTGTCATACATTCAATGCATATCCCATTTGTCTTTCTAAATGAGGATTGATCATCTTCACCCATGTCCACTTTCTTGATTATCTTCTTTAGGTGTGTAGATTTCATTATGTTTATCATATCTTGTAGGTCTATATAAGCGAGTATACACCAAGTTTGTCTTTCTCCTTCTGGGATACTTTTAAAGAAAAGATGTTGAGACATTTCATTTCATTTTTAGGTATCTTGGCTGTACCTTCTATAGAGAAACAAACCCAGCTTCCTGAGATTAATGTGTATTTAAAAATGTTTGGTCTTGGTCCCAGGCTTCTTAATACCCTAGAGAGGGAAGAAACTTGGAACCAAAAGGTTTCAGTTTAAGGTCTGACTTTACCAATGGAGACCATTTTCTACTTCTGCTCTACTATTGCAACTGTTACACTGTGGAAGTGCCACTTGCCTGCTTTGTCTTCTTTTGTATGGCTCTCATTACAATCAAACATCACAAAGAACATGAAAGTAGTTTTTAAATTTTGAAACATTGTGTAAATGGCAGGATTTATAATACTGTCTTAATTTTTGAAGCCATATGAAATGAGTATGGCATTAATCCAGGATGTTTTTGACTCATGGGTTGACAGGCAAGAATAACATGTTTTAAAATTTTAATGTTGTATCTCTTTTCCAAACTGGCAAAAAAAAAAAAAAATGAGAGGCTTATTCATGTTGATACTGTATTTTTGACATTTGCAAGTGACTGGCTTCTTCTCCAAGGCAAGGAGTTTTACAAAATTTTATTTGTGTAATAGATGGCCACTCAGATCTGGGATAGTGTCCACGTGGCTTTTAAATTACAATGGAACACTATGTTTGTCAAGATCTCCCACATACATTTGTCTCTTTCTCCTCCCAAGCACAATGCCACCTCCAGGATGGGACTAGAAAGGTCACAGTTTCCTTTACAACATGCAATTAAACAACCTAATCATGCATATTGCTCCAAATTAACACATTCCAGATTATAGTATGAAAACCAGGACCTAGCAACAGTAGACACATGAGAATCAGAGAGCACACAGAAATTGCTTTCTTGGGGTTCTTTCATTATAGCTTACCCACAATGTTGACATTTTAGCATGGAAAATATGTGACAGTCCAGTAGGTTTTAGTTGTGACTCTAACAAGCAATCCAAATGACTTACTAGGTAATTAACACAAGCAATTAATTTAAATGATGGACTCCTGGTAGCTTGTTCATACAGATTAAATACTTCTGGTCCTGGCCCTATACTTTTCTCAGAAGAGAATTGATTCTTGGGACACATTTGGAAGGCCCATGTAATGTTCTTTGTGAATTTTACCAAACATGGAATGACATTTCAGTAGTGACATAGGCTGTAGAAACTTCCATTTAGACACACTCCTACAAACATCCTCTGACACAGTAGAGGAGACCAGATGTGTTATTTCAATGCCACCTTCATTTGTTTAAACCTTTATATTGATACAGAAATAAACTAGCTTTAATGTGGAGAAGACTTTACCACTCTTTTGAGGCCTGGCAGATAATGATGATGACTTTAATAACTATCATGGTGGGCATGTATTTATGTGATTGAATCCTAATGGTATCATTAAAATAAACACTGTCATTTGATCTGGTATAACCTAATGAATCAATATCGAAAACATCATGTCTTTAATTTATAGACAAGGACATTTACTTAAACAGGAAGTAGTAGAATTAATTCAAATCTGTGCCCATCTGTTTCTAAATCCTGTTGTTTCCTATACCACTAACAGTTCCCAAAGTGTATTTCATAATACCAAAGTTCTATCTTATGCACCATGAGAGAAATGAAAGATCACGTGACCTTGGAATCTTAGAGATGTTATCTACATATCTTTTAAAAATTCACATTGTACAGTCTATGAAATGCTCATAGGAATTGTCTAATAGAGGTTTGGTTTTTTTTTTTTAGTAAGTTTTGTTTTAATTATTTGTCCATCATACTTAGAAACATATCATGTGTTATCATGTGTAATGTTTAGTTAGCATTTCTCAGTGTAGAAAGTTTAATTTTGTCTTACTCTAAAAGCAGACATGATGTGATATATCATTGGCATTGTCATAATGATGAAAGTAAAATTTTAGGTGAGGATTCTGTTACAGACTAAATGTTAATGCAATGAGGCTGGATTTCATCTGCATTCAGGTCCACCTGAACTCTAGGACCAGGTTTCTTCCTGCTTTGCCACCATCACCTAGGGTCCTAGGGTATAGATTAAAGATACCTGATATTGTAATATCTGTTGTGAAGCAGCAGATATAATCCAACAGAGTAAAAGTGGGACTACTCATAATAAAAACACAGTAAAAGTGGGACTACTGTAATAAAGAAAATATGAACAAAAAGAAAAGCAACATTTTTCTACTGCTCATCTGGGCAAACTGCTACCTTAAGACTGGAGGGACTAGGAAATCCAGAATATCACAGCCTAGCTCAGCCTACATGGGGCAGAAGGCCTGAGCCTTCCAGAAAGACACATATGAATTATTAGAGGCTGAGTGAATTCACACAAGAGTGAAAAACTGGGAGCAGTTTTGGTCAGGAACATACCTTCATAGATTTTTTTAAAATTTTTATTAATTATACTTTATTCACTTTGTATCCCCCCATAGCTTCCTCTCTCCTTCCTTCCCAATCCCTCCCTCCCTCTCTCCCTCCCCCTTCTCCATGCATTCCTCTTCCCAAGTCCACTGATAGGGGAGGTCTTTCTTTCCTTCCTTCTGATCCTAGTCTATTAGGTCTCATCAGGAGTGGCTGCATTGTCTTCCTCTGTGGCCTGGTAAAGCTGCTCCCCCCTCAGGGGGAGGTGATCAAAGAGCAATCAGTTCATGTCAGAAACAGTCCCTGTTCCCATTACTATGGAACCCACTTGGACACTGAACTGCCATGGGCTACATCTGTGTAGAGGTTCTAGGTTATCTCCATGCATGGTCCTTGGTTGGAATATCAGTCTCAGAAAAGACTCCTGTGCCCAGATTTTTTGGTTCTGTTGCTTTCCTAGTGGAGCTTCTGTCCTCTCCAGGTCTTACTATTTCCTATTTCTTTCATAAGATTCCCTGCACTCTGCCCAAAGGTTGGCCATAAGTCTCAGCATCTGCTTTGATACCCTGCATGGTAGAGCCTTTCAGAGGCCTGCTGTGGCAGGGTCCTGACTTGTTCCCTCTTTTCTCCTTCTTCTGATGTCCATTCTCTTTGCCTTTCTGAATGGGGACTGAACATTTTAGCCAGAGTCCTCCTTCTTGATTAGTTTCTTTATGCACAGATTTTAATAGGTTTATCCTATATTATATGTCTAATATCCACTTATGTGTAAGTATATACCCTGTGTGTCTTTCTGCTTCTGGGATAGCTCACCCAGGATGATCTTTTCCAGTTTCCATCATTTACCTGCAAATTTCATGATTTCCTTGTTTTTTTTTTTTTTTTTTAATTGCTGAGTAGTATTTCATTGTGTAGTTGTACCACAATTTCTGCACCCATTCCTCAGTTGAGGGGCATCTGGGTTGTTTCCAGCTTCTGGCTAGTACAAATAAGGCTGTTACAAATATGGTTGAGCAAATGTCCTTATTGTATACTTGAGCATCTTTTGGATATATGCCTAGGAGTAATATAGCTGGATCTTGAGGAAACACTATTCCTAATTGTCTGAGGAAGTGCCAGATTGATTTCCAGAGTGGTTGTACAAGTTTACATTCCCACCAGCAATGGAGGAGGGTTCCCCTTTCTTTACATCCCCTCCAGCATGTGTTGTCATTTGAGTTTTTTATCTTAGCCATTCCAATGGGTGTAACGTGAAATTTCAGGGTCATTTTGATTTACATTTCCCTGATGACTAATGACATTGAGCATTTCTTTAAGTGTTTCTCTGCCATTCAATATTCCTCTATCAAGAATTCTGTTTAGCTCTGCATCCCATTGTTTAATTGGATTACTTGATTTGTTGCTGTTTAACTTCTTGAGTTCTTTATATATACTGGATATTAGCTCTCTGTTAGATATAGGGTTGGTGAAGATCCTTCCCCAATCTGTATGCTGTCATTTTGTTCTAATGACAGTGTTCTTTGCTTTACAGAAGCTTTTCAGTTTTATGAGGTCCCATTTATTGATTTTTGCTCTTAGAGCCTGTGCTGTTGGT